GCATGAATGAGTCAAGCAAGGCTTTGGACATCATTTTGATAAGAGTATAACAATATAACATGATATAAAACTCAACAAGTTGATTTTACATGATATTGCCCCTTTGAGAAATGAAGGTCAGTCGGTCCGAAAAATTGGGAAAACTTTGAAAGTGTCCCCAAGTACAGTCGCAAAAATCCTCAAGCGCTACAAAGAAACTGGCTCACATGAGGACCGCCCCAGGAAATGAAGACCAAGTCACCTCTGCTGCGGACRATAAGTTCATGAGTCACCAGCCTCAGARATCTCAGGTTAACAGCAGSTCAGATTAGAGAACAGATCAATGCCACACAGAGATCTAGCAGCAGACACATCTCTAGAACAGCTGTTAAGAGGAGAATGTGTAGTGCATTAAAAAATCACTGTTAAACAGAACAAATTTTYATTCACTCTGATAAAAAGTTGTACAATGTTTGTTTGATCTCCAATTTGTGGCGCCCCTATAGACTGTACCCTTTAGCATTTGCCTGAACTGCCTATTTCACAGGCCAGCCCTGTCTTTAGGAACAACTCATYAATGTCTAAGTATGGTGGGCTGCAACAAGAATTTCAGGGGTCGCTATTTTTTTCCATACGCTGCAGGAGGAGGTGAAATAGTGGGATCAAGTTGTCCCAAACAGGGAGGCTATTTGTTGCATTTGGTGATTGTCTTTGGTTTTTATTGTTGGGTTTCTTTTTATCTGTTGGTTACATCTTTATTATTCTGTGAATTGTCCTGCTCCTGTGTTTTTCTGTGACATAGGTCAGTTTCTGCTCTTCAGTCAGCTCTTGCTCCTCAGTGTTTTTCCCTGTTTCACCAGTCACAGCAGCAGGCACTCCCCTCATTTTCACTGACCATTTTCTGTCCTTGCTTTGCATTCTTGTCTGCAGAGTCTTGCTGATTTTCAGTCCGCGTCTGTTTTTCCTTGTGCCTCTTTGTCAAAAGTTTCTGCAAGTTTTGTTTTATTACAAATTTTTAAAATAAATTTAAGTTTATATTAGTTCCTTGTGAAAGTCTGCACTCCTTGGTTCAGTTCTGTTACAAAGGGATTCAAATCTGTCACTGATTAATTTCTGTTGTGTAACTTTTGGCTCTTATTACTGTGTTACTATGTGCTCACTGCAGTCCAGTTGGACACAATAAAAGCTGGTATTTAACTGTTTAATTTACAGCTTTGTCTTTCAAACCTCATATCCAAGGTGTACTGGGTAAAAAAATGACAGAATATTTRGTTTTTCTGATGAAATTTTTTGACTGGAGAGAAGCCTTTAACATATATTTTTTAGTATTGCAGACTGAGAGTGAATAGAAATTTCTGAAAGTTTCCACRTATTTCTTGCTAAGATCAGAAGGGAAAAAGAAACTGAAAAGCTTGTGCCTACACACCCCCATTTCTGTTAAAATCATTAAAATGTTAACAGGAAACTGAAACTAAGTGAAACAAAGCAAAAGCACGCCTTTAACCACAAGCTTTCAGTGAAAAGAGCGAAATAGACAACAAAACAATCTTGTCTGATTTGGATGCAYCTAAAAACACCCACCCACAGCTTTTAAATCACATAAAATAAAAACATTTATAAATAAATGAAMCATTCTATTTTCAGCAGATTGGAGCTGGRCRGTKACGCCAACATAAAGAAGCAACAAACTGCTAAACTGTTTCTCCCTCAGTCCCCAAATGTTTGTCATTTAAAGGTAACCAAACATGCGTTTCCTGTATTAATCTAACTTTCTGATTCAACATGCATGCAAGCAGTTTTCCATACACTACTAGAAATAAAGCAAATACAATAATAATGGGGCAATAAAGTTTGTTTGCTTTAAATCTCAGTTTGTAAAATGTGAAATTTGTCAAAGCAATCCAAAAAAACAGACATTATTTATTGTTTCGGGCTACACCTACCTAAAATCAACACTGCTATTTAAGAATTACATTAGCTGTGCTGGTGAAAATGTTCAATCATCCAGATGATGAGCAATCATATAGAAACAAAAACGTTAAAACAACTKAACTTGAAGCTCTAACGATGAAGAWGTTCTGCTTCAGAAGTTTTCTCAATTTAATTTTGTTTTTTGTTTTGTTTAACCATTTTCTTTTTTGATGCACCAGTTGTGCACTCTATCTTATCACAGCACAGTAAGACTAAAAAAAGTCACACAATTAAAGCTGAAGTTGGTAACTTATAAAAAGTATTTTTTTCTCTATTTGTTAAAACTTTTACTGGCAGTAGATGAGACAGATAATCTGTGGGGGAACAAATCAAGCTCCTCTGGCTTCTCCCAGTGACCCTACAGCCATTTGCAGAAAATRCACCGCTCCCGATCAGAAACAGCCACTCATAGAGCATTTAGAGTACCCTCGTTCAAGCCCACGATTGCCGGTGAGCTGCAGCTGTGAAGGAGAAACGRCCTAAAGTTACAGGAAAACTCATTTCTGAGAGTTTTAAATGTGCCRTGTTTTTACGCCATCGTTGGTRGTTCTGCTGCTAAGCCTGAGCGTTTATGGCAGGGTCTGCTGTGGGGAAGAGCTGTGGAGGGAGGGCTGTAAGAAGAGAGCAGTGGGGGAGGGACCTGGAAGATGTGTTTGTTCAAAGATTCAGGCAATCCACTTCTCTTTACTGCAGCTTTAAAAACTGAAACTGAAAAAAGTTTTAATCCAGTAATTTGCTAAACAAGATGTTTAGACAAAGTCACTAACTACTCATCATTACASCACAATTATTTCCATTTTAAACAACTTTTTTCAATACTTTAACGGCACACTATAAAATAATTTCTTACATTTTCTGTAATTGGTTTGTATAAACTATGGGGTAAATTTAGATTCACTGCTTTTCATTCTTTTCCCACTGATGAGCTCAAGTAGAGAAAGGAAATAACTTGTCCAGTGTGATGCTTAAGACTAATAATGACAAGTAATATGCCGCCACATGATGTTACTGTCAATCAAAATGTCCAAGTTCAACAAACTTTAATAAACCGAAGATATAAGAGATTTATAAAGGAAAAGTAGAAAATAAAAAGAGGTTTTTGTTCCTTCTCAGTAACACGACTGAACATGGAATTCCCCACAAAAGAAACTAATTGAGAAAGTTTCCTTTATACATTTATGTATTTGTGTTGACTTTAAAAAGCTTAGAGGGCAAGATGTGACTTGCAGAGAAGGAAAAAATGATTTTTTTCTTTGATATTTTATTCTCAGCAGCAGAAGACAGAAGCAAAAATAAAACGGAGTTGCATCTGACAGTTAATTTTGCAGAAAGTCATTCAGCAATGGTTCTTTTTGTTTCTGGCTTATGCATTCACCAACACTGAATAGATGTGATAGAAAACAATATAAAAATACTTTTAATGGTCTGGTACCACATGACTGTCAGGACTCCAAACTCTGCTCAAAGCTGTTGATCGTTTCCCTTTTGGTTTATTATCTGTTTCTAAAGAAAACACTTTATTGAGCTATTAATATAATGAAACTGTCAACATAGATCTTAAAAAAAGAAAAGTCATGGTGCATATTTACAGCCCTGTCTAGAGCAGGTGGGTTAAAAAACAGAAAAGAAAAGAAAAGAAAAGRAAATRTGATATTACTGCCTTTTTTATTAAAGTTTTTTGCATCCAGTCTTCCCCTTTATATTACAGAAAAAAGAAGTAAAACGAAAGATTTAAAAATGTCGATGAAGCAGATTTGTTGCCATTATTGCTTGTTTCGGGTTCCTCTTTAGAGCTTGCATGCTGTTATCAGCAAAACTGGATCAGAGAAAGCTCATTTCTGCGTTGAGCTTGTGTGACCTACAACATCTGATAAACCGTTTTGTAAGTTTGAACTTTATTACTTCATACTGTGTTTTTAGGCTTGTTAACTACAATTGGTCAAATTTTGATGATGGTTGAACCCCACATTAAGAACATCTCTTGGGTATATCTGGTCTTTTTGTTTGGACTTTGAATGTGCATGGTTTCTTTGATAACTCTGGTTGTCTTCATTCAAAAACATGCAAATTTGATTAATTGGTAATATTAAACTGGTCAATGTTTGTGTGAAAAGGTTCCCAGTCAGGATTGAGTAAGACTTCATCCCTCTGAACCTAAAACAAAACGAATAAACACATGTCAGTGTGGCCTGTTTGCTGAACACTTTTTCGTTAATTCTAAAAAACAGCAATAAAATGAAAGGCCCCTTGTAACTTGATATTGTACCAATTGTGACCCCCCCCCTTTTTTTAACTTTTATAGTTTAGTGTTTTGATGTAAATTATTTTTAATGATATATTGTTTCCAGGAGCTACACAGGTTTTTAAATAGTGAAAAAATTGTGCTTTCTCTTTCTTCTTTTCCAGTTCTCATACTTTCTGTTTGAGAAGCACCAAACATATATTCAAATCTGTAACTGAGTAAGAATTCTGAGAATAACCTTTTTATTCATCTATATGTATACGTTTTCTCTAGATTGTATTTAGTAAAATTCCAATTTTGAGCTTCTTAGCTTTGCTTCAGTATATTTTTCTGTTTTTACAGATCTACAGGATGGAGCACACCGGTAATTTCTCACATGGCCCGTGGTTCGATGATCTGTTGGAGATGTTCAGTGATTATTATACTTGGGATGAATATGATGGCGTTGAAGCAAAGATCTACGACATGACTGACAGAATGACTTTCAAAGCGGTCTTCATCCCAGTTCTGTACTCTGTGGCATTTGTTGTGGGTATTCTGGGAAATGGATTGCTGCTGGGAGTCCTGCTTCRGAGCAGGAAGACCTGGAGCGTGACGGACACCTTCATCCTTCACCTGGGTATCTCAGATATCCTGCTGCTGGTGACGCTGCCCATCTCTGCTGTACAGTCTGCTAGTRAAACAGGATGGACATTTGGTAACCCACTATGCAAAATTACTGGAACTAYTTTTACGGTAAAAATTGTACAATAAWGAAAATGTGTTGAAAATGYVAHAATTCACTAAAACTSTTYTCYTTTTACTTTCAGATCAACTTCTAYAGTGGGATTTTCCTCCTGGCCTGCATCAGTTTGGACCGCTACCTGTCCATTGTCCATGCTACTCAGATGTACACCCGCAGGAAKCCCTGGGTGGTTCAAGTCAGCTGTTTGGTGGTTTGGTTGTTTTCTCTGCTCCTCTCTGTCCCTGATTGGATCTTTTTAGAAGTTGTGGATGATTACAGACGAAACAGAGCTGAGTGTTCTCGCGAGTATTACAAATTTGGTCCAGAGTACGCTAGTGCTTTCAAACTAGCAGCACGGGGTTTGTACCACTCAGTGGGCTTTCTGCTCCCTTCAGCTATCCTGATCGTCTGCTACTCCTGCATCCTGTGGAAGCTGCGGTGCGGCACCCAAGGCCTCCAAAAGCAGAGAGCTTTCAGAGTCATCATAGCTGTGGTGGCAGTTTTCTTTATCTGCTGGACCCCATACAATATCACTCTCATGATAGACACCATTCAGCAAAACAATAAAACCTATTCAAGTGAAGTGAACACTTCTCTGGGCAAAGCTCTGGCGGTGACATCATCGGTGGGCTACCTGCACTGCAGCCTCAACCCCATCCTGTACGTTGTTGTTGATGTGAAGTTCAGGCGTCAGGTGCTGAACATCCTGGGCTGCTAACAGTCAATAAATCTGTAATTCAGTTTTATTTTATACTTGCTTCCAAATCCTCTAAAAGAACATACATATTGTGTTAAAATGGACATAAATTAAAAGACATACAATTTTAAAGTTTAACAGTTTCTCAGCACATGACGTTCAAGAGTAATTAGATTATTTTTTCTTTTTTTTACTCTTTTTTCCCAGTTTTTTATTTTCATCTCTATGTATTTTTTTCTGATCATCATTCATTGTCATATAGTAAACATATACAGTGTAATATAACAAGCTCAGGACAACTTAAAGTAAATGTGACACATCTTAATACTCCTAATAAATTTTTATTGTAATTTCAGTGCTGTATGTTTTGGATTGCAGAATAAACGTGCATTTTTTTAAATCAAAAAAGTACTTTTTTATTCCTTGTTAGTAGCAAGACAACAAATGTTGGGAAAATGTATTTACTAGCTGTTGTCTTTATATTATTCAAACTTCAGGACAGTCAGCGCCTGTACATATTACAGTACCAAATATGTGCCTGGTATTGTACAAAGTAACTAATCATTTCATAACCCAGTCCCCATAATTACCAAGTATATCATGTAAGTATCAAGTAAGTTTTTATTTTATTTGTTTGTTGTTATTTAACCAATTAAGTCCCATTGAGATCTCAGATCTCTTTTTCAAGGGCGGCCTGGGCCTGAAGGCAACCCATTGTACGTGTTTTTATGGGTGGGGGAAACCGGAGTACATGGAGAAAAAACCCACACAAGCACGAGGAGAACGTGCAAACTCCGCACAGAAAGAYCCCAGGTCTGAACYKGGGATCGAACCCAGGAYCTTCTTGCTGTGAGGCATCTGTGCTAACCACTGAGCCRTCTTGCYGCCAGTAACTGAGAGAACTGCATCAAGTAACAGGTATGCTCCTGATACATTTCAAGTAGGTACCACRTACAGTTATACCAAGTACAGTAAGCATTGGGCACGCACCCATCTGCTAACTGTCCTAAAGTACGAATATGTTTTAGACTATATACAGCTCTGGGTACAATTATCTGAAATTTATAACCTCCATGTTAAAGGTTTGATTGTTTCTGTGTAGAGCTGCAATAAGTTCCTAAATCAGTTTGATTTCTACAGGAATTTGAAGGTCTTAACAGGGTTATGTTAAAGGTCCAGTTAAAAGTTGTTAGTTGTACAAAAGCTCAAATACAGCATTGTATATTTTAGTTCCCACAGATGAAAGACAATCTTTAAAAAAAAGAAAATCTAATCTATTTGTTTGAATGAACTTAACTGTTGGAAAACATTATGTACAAATAATCAAAGCATCCAATTTAGCTTATTAATCGGATGGCTTCTGTACAGCTCCATAAAGAGATACACAAATAAAGCACAAATGTTTTAAAGTTCTGTGTTTAGCCACACATACACGACCAAATGTGTTTCCTTGTTCTGGTCTGAATCACACAGAGGCCAAAGCTGGAACTAAGGAGTTGACACAGATTTTCGGTTTCACCTTACTAGCTTTTGTTTGAAGCTTACAGTCAGTTTAAACCCATAACAAAGCCTCAGCTGTTCTGGTTTGTCTGTTTGAGGCAAATCACAGAGACCATCAGTTATACCACAACAATAAAACTGTTTGTCACAGCAAACAATTTTTAGAGTTTTCAGCACAATTATTTATTTATTTTGTTTGCTCCATTAGCTGACAATGAGAACATTCCTGAATGCACAACATTTGTTTGTGCTTATTGAGTAAACAGTTGCAGACGAAGCACCCGAAAGGCTCCGCTGAGGGCATGAAGCCAGCAGATCTGGTTTATGCAGCTCCTGTTTGTCAGGTGCTTTCTATGTAAATACGCAGCAAGGAGCAATGTGCATCGTGAACAGTGACGTCTTACCTTTTGTTCACAAATAATTTACTCACTTTTCTGAAAAATGTTTATTGCAGAACTTCTATTTTTGCACATTGCTGCACGTGGCTGCAAAGAAAACAGTCTGAAGCAACAAAACAGTAACTTTAGTGACAGCTAGCAGACACAGTTACTATTTATTTATTTACACWGTTGAGACATTAAAGCAACGTGCAGCGGTTTCTGTAAAAAATATATTTCTCGTCACCGCTTCAGGAAGCAAACAAAGCAAAGGTGAGAAACGGCACAGTCACATCCTGAACCACATGGTTACAGCTGGAAGACAATTGCTACAGTCTGATGAAAGATAAAACAAGTCACAGTAATACACAAAAGATACATTYAGTACGTCTCTGCTTAAATTTTAATGACTGAAAACATTTTGCAGGTCAGACCAAGAAGCAGCAGGTTGGTCACGTATTTCCCTCCTGAAGCAGCAAAGTGCAGAGCACCTCCTCCTTCCTGAATTCAGTTTGTCTGCTGTGCAAACTTGGTCAGACCACATTTTTTTTATGCGGCAGACACCTTCATCAATCTTTCGTGAGCAGCTTCCTCAGCGAAGCTGTTGTAGATTTCAAGCAGAAGTAGTCTAACACTCAATAACAGCAGTGTTAAATACTTTTTGTAATTTTGTTGTTC